CTTGCCCAGGTACTTTATCTTAGTGTGGTAACCTTATTGTTGGAGAAGTACCGTATAGGGTAGCAACATTTAGACTATAAAGCTGGGTTAAAATAAAAGAATAAAGGACGAGTAGACCATTAGGATTGATTTGAGAAATGGGCAATGGGGAGCAGACGCAAATAAACAGCACACCTTAAGCGCACTTTGTAAATGAGCTGGACAAGTCAAACCGTAGTTCACCTTTATGATTACTTCATTAAAGGTAGATTGGTAATGCGCCTCAAAATGTCATTGTATATGTTTTGCATTCTACTAAGTGACCTAGACAGTATTCGAGCTCATGATGGTTGACGGCTTAATGCGCATTCATAGATTTAAAATTATACGCAAAGAAGAAAGGAAAGGGAAGTTTATGCTGGCCACCTCGATGTTAAATGTGATGTCATGCAAGTCCTCCGCATGCTGTTATGAGTTTCTCAACTGCTCAGAATACCTGTGGATAATTAACATAGGCCACTTTCGTAAGGTATATTAGCCAATGGAAATGCTAACGCCGTTTAGCGATTACGATATGAATTTAAAAGTTTACTAGTACAGCAAAATAGCTTGTCTTAATCAGTGGATGATTTAAATGCGGGGTGGCTACTAGAACTTCATGTGCGCGGTTTGAAAATATGGTACCGTCCGTTGTCACCAGTGTCCCTATTCATCCGTCAGGTTTACCATAATCAGGCATTAAGCCTATAAACGATTCAAACTTACTAATCAGTAAGTAGTGTTAAGTTGAGTAAATGATGCATCGGGCTTTGTCCACCTTTAAGGCGTGTCAAGCTTAGAATGCGCTATATGCATCCGCGACTGGTGAATTTTCAATTAAGTGTGGCGCAAGTAACAGCAAGCAAGCGAAGTGGGTACATAATTTAATGCTGTTACACAAAATAAAATCCGGTCGCTTAAAGTTTTAAAATGTTGCATTTAAGCAGTTAGATTTTGTTTTAATTATGCAATACTTATAAACGTCCGCGACCCGTAAGTGAAATTTTTTGAACTAAAACTGCGCCGTTATGGGGAAGGTTGAATCGGTATGACGCGCGAAATTAAGTTTCTGGCCGAGGAACTAGCGTACATCAATCTGTAAAAGATGGAAAGGTAAACGACAGTTACTGAGTAGTGTGAACAAGGTATGAAAAAGGAATGCTTAATTAATGCTATCTTTTGTTTTTGGCGTGGCATTAGTTTCGGTTTTAATGGGTGGTTATGTAAGGGCACATACTGAGCGTCAATACGAAATGTGTATGCTGTAATCGGCGTTGGTTAGCGGGTGTTAATGGCAGACTCAATGGTTAGGACATTTGCAAGCAATTTGCGTACAGTAAAAGATGATGTGCTAATGCGGTAGCGTCCGTCTATGTAAAAAAAGACGTGATTATGCAAGGGGAATGCGAAAGTTGGATAATCAGTCTATATATAGATCCTCCTAGTGGCATTTTATGCGGTAAAAGAATGAGTTTAGCTACAGTCTATTTTATGGGGGAAGGCGCTGTTAAAAATAATTAGGTAGATAAATAACCGGTAGACTGTAAATATTTTTGTACGTCTGCAAAGGGTTTTGGAATTGTTACCGTCGGACTACAAATGAAAAACGAGGAGACTATGTGCTTCAGTATACGCATTACATAAACCTAGCTACTGAAATATCTTAGTAGGCAGTAATTGAAATATTTTGCTTGCTTCATATACTGTCTTACGGTAATGCTGCAATGTGCAATAGTGTTAACTGGCAACTGCGATATGCTGACCACTGTGAAGTATTATATTACATTATATTATATTATTATTATATATATTATATCACATTATATATATATAATATATAATATATATATAATTAATATATATATAATAATAATATTATATAATACAATATAATACTTCACAGCGGTCAGCGTATTGCAGTTGCCAGTTAACTCCATTGCACATTGCAGCATATATATATATATATATTATTACTTCACAGAAGGTGTCACAGCGATGTTAACATATGCAATAGAGCTGATTGATTACTCATATAGGCTGCGGGCCGTAAGTATGAGATCATCGCCACGGCACTTAATATTTGAAAGGGAATATACATATTTTTATTTATATGCAATATAGCTAAAGGAATGCTTATGTAACCGGATGGCGGGTAATTATCTGAGGATCGTAACTCTACTGAAGTTGTCGCAACGATGCTAACATATTCGGTATAGCTTCTTGACTGCTCATTTAGTCTGGGGGCCAGAAGTATAAGATCATCGGCACCGCACTTATTATTTAAAATGGAATTTAATTTTATATAAAAATTTATTTATACGCAATACAGCTTAAGGAACCCTGATGTAACCTGATGGCCGGTAATTATCAGAGGTTCGCAACTTTAATTAAGTTGTAGCAGCGATGCTAACATATGCAGTAGAGCTGACTGACTGCTCAGTTACTCTGGGGGCCATAAGTATGGCACCATCGCCACTACACTTAATAGTTAAAAGGGAATATATTTATTTTTTATTTATATGGAAGGGAGGTAAATGGCTGTTAATCTAAGCTGGTGGCCGGTATTTATTGCACGATTCCAACTCTACTGAGGATGTCTCAGCGATGCTAATATATGCGAAAGGGGTCGCTGACTAATCACATAAGCGGGCCGCACGTAAGTGTTAGTGCTTGCTGGCTGCACAGAAGATGGCACAGCAATGCCTGCATATGCGACGGTACTGATTGTCTACTCTAATAAGCTGGCGGGTGGCAAGTACTAGATGTTCCCGACCTCACTGAAGGTATAAAATACGTCCTATCTTAGGCAATGGAGATAAGTGACAGCTCATAAGAGCTGGACGCCCGTAATTGTTACATGTTGCCCGGTGCACAGATTGTGTCACAGCATAGCGTTTGGTCCACTGAACCCTCAACCTTTCCTCAAATCCTTAACGCCTACAGTGCATTTGTATGTTTATTACTCCAACGTCTCTGCTATTGTACTGAAGTCTGTGGTGAGGCCACCAAAACGGTTCTCACGTTGTCATGCAATTCATTTTTCGCAATAGTTTTTCTCCCACGGGGCTTCCGTATCCACGTAATACTATTTTGTAGTCAACCGTTGTTCCATAAGGAATAGAGCTACCGGACTGCTTGCATGCACTGGTCGCCAGTAATTATGAGATGTCCGCCGCTAGATAGAATGTGTCACGGCAATGCTTCCGTATGCCATGGAGCTAATGGACTGTATACATAAGCAGGCCGCCGTTAAGCAATGGATGTTCTCGGTTCTGAATAAGAAGTCACAGCGATGGTGGCATATGCAGTCAACTTAAAGGACTGGTCCGTTTTGTTCGCCGCTGTTAATTATCGTACGCCGCCGGAATGGTGCGCGATTTCGACATCTGCAATTTGCCCAGTGACGTGGTCCAACGTGATTCCGCATCGCGTGCTCTACGTACAACGGCCTCAAACAGTTGCAACAGCGATGTCCTTTCGCTTAATCCGCACTTAAGGTGCTTATTCTCGTTTTCCACTCTGTTGGTGGTGAACGCACCCAACGTACGCACATCGCGCAACCGGTGGTACGCCCAGCTTCCTGCGAAGGGCAACCACGTACGACTGAGGTAAGTGAATGCCTCTTTGCTTCTAACCCTTATCGCTCTGAGCAGCATCTTAAATTGCAATTCCGTCTTCGTGTACACTAATCGGTGCATCCACTGCTTGAGCAGAACTCTGTCCGCCTTCTTCACTTGTGACAAATACTGGCATCTGCGTGAAACGTCCCGCAGGAAATGAAACCGGCATAATACTACAGTGCTCCGTGCATATACTGACTTAAATGCCTTCATTTGACCCAGGCACCTATCCATGACTATAGTCTTCGCTGACAAGGTGGTGGGCAACATTTCCGACATGCCCCGAGCTACCTCCAGGTAACTGCATGCTGTCTCGTTGGGCATTAAAGCGTAAAACACGCTTCGACCTACGCCGAAACCGTCAATAACCATACAGTGCCAAAGAATATAACCACCGCAGTTCATCTGATGCGTCGCATCCGCAAGAAGTACGTCGCCGTATTTCGCCGCTATGGAAGTCATTGAAGCAGGAACGAAAAATACGAATCGCACTTGTGACCCATCTCTTTCGACACGCACAGCGCCGTTCTTACTCAACAATTCCGCTACCGCGTTTACATCATTCCCCTTAGATACCCCACCTAAGCGATGGCGGATGGAAAATAGGTCCTGTCGATTCAGTCGCTTGTTATATCTTTCCAGGATATAGTCTCGCAATTCTCCGGTATTACAGAAGGACTGCATTAAATCAAACACTTGCCGCTCCGCCTCGGGAGTCAGACGCCGGTTACCCACGTACAAACTTGGATTCCCCAAGTGAAAATTATGATTATGCACCAGACAATGCGAGCCTATCTCATAGTAAATGCCCTTAGCACTGATGGATATGCTCGCTTTACAACCGAGGCTGACATACCTATGAAACATGAATTACGCATAAAAAACTTTCGCACCTACCGACTGCCACCGTCTCCTTTCCGGGTGCAATGGACACAACGATATTGTACCCATTTGTACCGCATCCCATCGGGTACCTCTTGACCGGACCTCTTCTTATACGACGCAGCGGTCAAAACGTCATATTTGTAAAAACTGGTCGCCGTCTGAAGTTGAAACCGCTTCAAATCTTCCTCGAATTCACCAAATGCTTTATAATATTGGCGAAAAGCAGCGCGGAAAGCAACAGTATCATCCACAGCCATTGCAGCGAAACCGAAACAACACCTGCGCACTAAAACAAAAACCATCATATACATCGTAAAATAATGCACCACCATTTTCAGTTCTCCTAAATCAATATACCTTTATTACACCCTTATCAGGCCTTAACAACGTACTTCATATCATTCATCCCCATCAGCCAATACAGCAAACAGTACCGCCCCCAAAATATGATCAGCTGTTTTCGATTAATCCGACGCTCTCCGCCGTTATGGATGTTGTTCTTTGTCGCGGAAGCGGAGTGCTTCAGTCATGCGTAATGACAAAAGACACCGAATTGCTTTTAAAGCACCTCAATTGTGGTAAGCGCTTTTGTCTAGCTACTTACAGAGGCTCAGGATTTAATGTGAATTCTGTTAATAAATATCATGAATCTGCGTTATTTGTTGCTGCATACTATGGAGAAAGTGAAATGCTAAATCTACTTATTAATTTTGGAGCAAATGTGAATTGGTACGTTTATACATACTATTACTTTATTTTAAGCACTACTGTTGACAGAAACACACCGTTACATGCCGCAGCTTATTCAGGACACAAAGCTGCTATGGCCATTTTGTGTGCTGCCGGCGCCAATGGATCGCTTAAAAACAACCAGGGATATACTGCTGAAATGCTTTTCGCGTTGAGAAACAACGAAGGTGGCACAAGCTTTATAGAGAGTGTTGCCCCGATTGGACGGAGAAAAATTCAGAAAGCGTCAAACCTCGCTCAAAAAACGGCGTTGCTTGCCAGTATAAAATTCAGGAACAATGTAAAAAGGAGTGCAAACAATACACCTTATACGGTTACGTCTAATTCAATAGGCGTAGGTTCCTACCTTTGATAATTATTTTATTTATAGTATTTCTTGCCTAATTTAGCTCGTTCGCAGTGGTACTTTACAGCTATACCTGTTATCTCAAACGACGAATTGGATACTGCAGGTGTTTCTGCTCCTTTCTTTACTGAAATGCTTCATGTACATACCAGTCAGTAAGTGAGGTCTTTGCCATCCTTGTGTCATTATTAACTTCCAGTTTATTGGGTTTGTTTAAGCACGGTTGCATGATCAACATTCCCGTAAAACTAACTGTTTGCGGATAAATTTTGTTAGTTCCCAAAATATTAACTAGCACATACCTCCGTTTTATTTATAGAAATCTTTTTCTTTGCATAACTTATAAGCAATGTATTGTAATCAAATGCCTTCATTGCAAGTGGACCGACTCCGTATTGATCCCTGCTTAAGACACACCAACGGCACTTGACGGACGACTCTGTGGTGGCCAAATGGTTGCCGTGTTTTATTTAGCCATGTTGGTACAATTGTTCTAAAATACTTTACCGTGTACCTTCGAAATATAAAGCGCCCATATGCGGTCACCTGCACAATTTTTTGAATGGCTTCACACAAATTTACGCTGTCCTGGTGTTAGAATCGCACTTGCCTTGCCATGCATTGCCGCTCGCTTCAGTAGGGTCCCAAAGTTGATATGTTGTATCGAGATCGTCATAACTGTAAGTTAGATACACTGCGCATAGGCTATGTAAATAAACTATGTAGTGATATTCGTAGATGGTTCCTATTTCTAAGCAGACGTGGTGTTTTGCATGCTTTGTGTTCCGCTTAGTAGGTAAAGGTTGTCCTTGCTTCTGCAACTGGATGGCTAGGTACAACGCTTATGTACGGAAAATGTCCCATTAACGTTGTATAGGATTCTTAAGTGTTCCGCAGAAGTGACAAGATGGCCTGCTGCAGGGGTGATAGTTTCGTTTTGCGTGGTTGGGTGCAAAATGTTCCGGAAATAAATGTTCGTTTAACAACAAGCCATTGCCTTATTTGTGAAAAAGAGATGCGCTTTGCACATTCCTTATTCTGTTTTAATCCATTTGGCCATATAAAAGCAGAGCAAGTTTTTGGATTCTGGCTGCGGTTTTAACATTTACGACGTATATACTATACAAAGATTACTGTTACCAGTTTTCAATGGGCATCATCTAGGCACTACACTGCGTTGGCATCGCTTCCAGTTATTGTGCTAAGAATGCGCATGTGTTTTATTATCAGTAGGTGGAAATATACTATTGCACTGTTGGTTTCTTAATTATGTCTAACGGAAGTCGGTACGCTACAGGGAATGATCTTTGTTGGTTAGGACTTGTAGTTATTTTGTACCAGGTAGAAAGTGCATATGAGATTTCATCAACCGCGTTCACCATATACTAATCGGGTAATAGCTGGGCGAGAATGCAGCTACGTCACTACGCGTTGTAATGACTTTCATATACAATGGAGCGTACTTCCAACTCTATTCAAACTTTGAAGTCAGTATCACACCCTCACACTTTCTTATGGTTGCTTGGATTTACATATAAAAAATGTGCTTTACAAACCAACATAAAGTAAAACTGCAAAAAAACGCTAAATGTAGTTGCTTGGTTGCTTGTTAGTTTATTAGGATCGTGCAACAACCATTAACTCTAAACTAACGTGTTAAAACGTAAGAGACACTGGCTTTAACTTTATCACGAGGCCAACGATTTTGCACGCTACTACTCATGACTTGTATGTGCATTAAAAATCCCATAATAATAGCCAACTTTAACGAGCTGCCTGCATTAAATGATATTTAACCAGAAAATATGAGGTATTTGTAGCGTATGGTAATAAAAGTTGCTCTTTCAGCTTCATAGTATTACAATTGAGCTGGACACGATTTAACCCACACCGTGCTTAAGAACGCTGCTTCATTTCAATTTCTAACAAACTATCCTGGCTTTTAATATTGGCTAGTTTACGTTTAAGTGTTCTTTAAGCTGTTTTTATTGGCTTTAAGCTGATTGAAATTTATATCCTAACAACAGTTCTTTATGATGAGTTACTAACCATTAGTTATCTTTCTTATTTTCAAAGCACTGTTGTTTCTTCTAAAGATCCATTATATATGACATACAACCAGGATTTTAAGTAGCTCTTGGTTATTTGGCTAGCGTTTTAGATGCAGCAAGGAATATTATCAGCCTGTTGCAATTTATAATTGATTTACTATGATAGATCTTTATTTAAAACAAAAGGCTGGTTTATAACTACCCAACTTACGGTTTACATAGTCACATAAGAACCATAGAGCTGTCCTAAACAAATAATTATAAAAATTGGTTCGCTTATTAATCTGGTTTATCTGCCGAAGTAAGGCCAACATTATTTATTCGCTTTTATGCATTACTTAATTTATTGTAGGATTTTATTACGACAGACTGAAGTATGCGGATTTATAGGTAGTTGACCTTGTCAGGCGTGCCACAATATCTAGCGTAAAACATGAACATATCATGATATTATTTAGTTAATTTCATAACTCGCGTAAAAATTTAGATTTTATTACATCTCATGTGGGATTTAAGTACCATGTGGTTTATAACAATATTGTAAGATGAGCGCGTATTACTGCTGACATATTTGTTGGAATTTACATTCTATCCATTAGTGTTTCTTGGAAACCTAAAGGTTAACAAGTGCTTTATTGCTGCTTTACTACTAACGAAAATAATAGGGCTAATTGTTCTCGATGGTATGCCAATCTATCGCTGAAATAGGGACCTAACATTAGTACAAGCAAGCTCATGTTATTGAATGAGTGCGATATGTATTCTGAATCATCCCTGTCGTTAACGCACTCCGAAATACATGAGTTTTGTACGTTCCGTTTTGCTTAGGGCCCCTTCTTGCTTGCTTTAGTTTCCTTGCTTCATCTTGAAAGGACTCATCGGGTTATTTATCCGATAGAAATATGGTCATAATTGAGTTTCGGTCCAGAACCTTTCATGTTGAATGAGAAATGTTCTCGCAGTTCTACAGGACCCGTTAGTGGCTGGTGGACTATTCCACACAACAGCGTATTGGATGAGGAAGAGCTAGACTTGTTAACTCTCCTTGTTCTTTGCACAAGTAGTGTGTAAGTCTAGTTGTGAATCCACCGGGTGGAGTTATGTTGCAGTTTTAATGCGCGCGGAACCAACTATCGTTTGGTTTACAAGGTTGTGCATATGCCCCAAGTTGTTTTATTATTCAAGACAAACTAACTCAAGCTTGAGCTCCTAATAAGGCTCCTGATAGCTCAAGGCGGACGCTTTACTGCTTAAACATTAGTGCATGAAGTTTTAGGTTGTTCAGAGCTTTCCCCTCATCCATCCGTATGTTTCCATAAATACAGCTGCTGTATTTTAGGAAAGCAAGGTTGAGTATTTTGAAAAGCTGGGTTATGGCAGTAACCATACGACTTTTGTAACATAGGTTAGACGTAAATCGGTGGGCACTTGCTATCTGATACTCAGCCTGATCTGAGAAATTAACAGTTGAAGAGGGTAGTTTAACCATATGACAGTCAAACAGTTTCATATCGATGCGTTCATTATTCAGTTTAGACGACTATGCATAAAGTAAAAACACCGTAGGCCTTGCTGCACCACCTGCTGATTGCACAATCTGTCAGCCTTATGTCGCACTAGGGCATCGATATCTTTTAAAGCTGCAACATTGTGCTCTGGACTTCGTCTAGTCGAAATATATAAAAACTTAATGTCTCTGGTGAGTAAACCTGGTCTGCCGTGGTTGACGGACACTGCGATCTTGTTATTATAGATTATGAAAAGGTGATGACCACCTATTCCTTCGGATGAAGTTGCTAGTTTTTGGACGTCGATAAGAGTACTGGTCACTCATGATGACCATCCTGTAACGCTTACTTAGGTATAATGTCAAGCAACTCAGTATTGGCTCTGATACCAAATGGCTTGAATTTTTATTAGCAGGTTGTGAAGCAGCTGGTTGAATGCGTTTGCACAAGTTGAAGTAATAGATCCTGTTATATAACACACGTAGCACAAATGATATGTTATACATGAACCTTTATCTAGTAACCCATGCTGGAACATGTAACGCAGTCCACAACCATAAGTAAAATCATAGTTCCCACTTTAATTATTTTTTCGAGCAATCTGGAAACCATAGGTGTGTTCTGAATAGGCTGAAAATAAACAGCGTCCTATTCGATGCCTTCTTTATGAAGAAAAGTAATAAACGGTGTTTTCTACTGTTCCGGAAAATGGCCAGCTTCTAATGCCGAGGTGAGCATGTTTAGCAAAAGCAGCGATATGTCAAGTCATCCGAATTTATTAGTTGATGGGAGGACACCATCAAAATCCAGTTTGAGCGACAGTTGCTGGGTTTTATAGGCCGTTGCATGCACTAAAAAGAAATGGAAACGATGCATGTCACGCTCTTCATAATTGAAACTACTTTGTCGCTAAGTCAATACGTACATTAGTTAATGGCATTATGTTATCGGGATAACTAAGCAGTCACAACTTAAGTTGACAAAAGTAGTGGCATAAGTATGTCACCCACCTTAAGAGCAGCTCTAAACAAGTACGAATTGCCAACTACTTTCATTATGAGTAGAACATTGAACCGAGTACCTAAATGAACTTTTTAAAGATTTTTTTAAAAATTTATCTAATAGCATGCTAAACCATTATTTACTGCAACTTATTCTTAAGGTATAGGACAGAGCAAACGGGAGTAACGGGCAACAAATTTAAAAGGGTCACTAAACAGGGTGACTATGTTTGGAAGCTATTTAAAGCGTATGAATACTTAAGCCATTTTATGTACAAATTGGATTCATTTAAGCTACAGGTGTTTTTATGATTTTGGATTGCTACTGTTAGCCGGCGTGTATATGGGTTGTCAGTAACCAAATGCTGCAACATGTGTGGCTGAATTAATTGTTTCCGATGCAAGACAGTGCCTTGATAAATGTTAGAAACTAGTAGCTAACGGAAACTGATTTAGTCAAAAAAACCAAAGTTGTACACCAACTAAAGCGAGACGCAAGCATCCAATCAACCGAATTTCAGCTTCTAAGCGTATTAGTGTGTGATTCAAACTTGTAGCTCATCTGGGGAATGTATTATTGACAGTCAGGGCTAAA